AGCGCCGCCCCGGCCTGGGCTAGAACCTGAGCGCGCGCGAAGCGCGCGCGATGGTTCTAGCCCAGGGGCCCGAAAACAGCTGCCCGATCCTCCATGGGAGTACCGGGGCTCATTTTCGCTGTGTTTTTACAGGGTTTCGGCGTCCCGGGCCTCGGAGGCCGCCGCGATGGTCCCGGACATTTTCCAGATCCTCGGCGCGGGCTCCAAGACCATTCCGAAGAGGGCTCCAACAGGCTCCAGGGCAGCCCAAGAGGGCTCCAAGACAGCTCCAGGAACGACTGCAGGGTCTCATTTTTGTTGTGTTTTCTGCAAGACGGCTCCAGGAAGACTGCATGTCTTATGAGGATGGCTTCCGCCTCTCGCCCCGAGCATCCCAAACTGCCTGAACGGTTCCCACTCGGCTTCCCCAAACCCAGCGCTTGCCCAAGCGCGTTCCGGACGGTCTTCGCCGGAACGCGCTGGAATGATCACGCGCTGCGGTTTCCCATGCCAACGTCCTCGGACGTGGGCGCCCAGCCATGAGCGCGTTCCGGGAAGATGCTCCCGGAACGCGCTGAAAAGATACCCCAGGAGCCCCCAGAATGCGAAAGGATGGCCCAAGACGCTCGTGAGCAGCCCAAGTCAGCCTTCCGACAGCTCTCGAGGCTCCCAGGTGGCCTCCAAGAGACCTCAAGAAGTCTGATAGGTATCACGGTACGGCCCGAAGAGGCCAAAGTCGTATATGTTCAATGGTATTTTCAATGTTTTCGGCTTCTCGCGTTTTCGAGCTTGCACCGGTCCAAGAGCGCCGAAGGGCCTCCACGGGGGTACCGGGGCTCATTTTCCCCGTTGTTTCTAAATGGTTTCCGCGTCCTGGGCCTCGGAGGCCGCCGCCTCCGACCCCTCATGGGAGGACGGGGCGGCCGAGGAGGTCCAAAATAGTCCAGGAGGGCCTCCAGAGGCTTCCAAGACGGCCCAAGCGGGCCCCGAGTCACCGAAAGCCAGCTCTAGGACGCCCAAGATAGACCCAAGACGACCCGAGAGGCCCCCCAAGGCACTCCACGACGCTTCAAGACGCTTCTCCAGAGCGCTTCAAGAGGCCGAAATCGTCACGCTTCAAGACGCTTCTCCAGAGCGCTTCAAGAGGCCGAAATCGTCAATTTTACGAAGGTTTCCGAACGATTTTGGCCTTCGAGCCTTTTCGGCTGTCCGACGTTCCAAGACGGCTCAATAGGCCCCCAAGAGCGCCCCAAGACGGCCCAAGAGGGCCCCAAGACGGCCTCAGAGTCGCCCAAGACAGCCCAACAGAGCCCCAAGACGGCCCTAAGATGCGCCCAAGAGGGGGACCACGACTCCAAAATTCGACCCTCCCGCTTGAAGAGTGCCCCAGGAGGCCCCAAGGAGCCCCCCAAAGGCCCCAGGAGGCCCCCAAAAGGCACCCAGGAGGCCCAAACAAAGCCTAAAGAGGCCACAAAACAGCCCCGAGGAGGCCCCACAACGGTCCCAAAACGGCTACCGAGAAGCTGCGAAACTGCCTTCACGACGTCCCCGACAGGCCAACCACGAGATCCAACCAACACCCATGAGGCCTCTGACCCACCACCCAGGGCACGGTGGCGGGAGCAGTGACAGCACTTGTGCACAGCATGTTCCGGCGGGAGCCTTCCGGAACACGCTGCAGGAGGAGGAGGAGGAGGAGGATCAGGAGGAGAGAGAGAGCTGGAGTGGGAGGAGGAGGAGGGGGACGAGGAGAAGGAAGAGGCCTCCCAGACAGCTCCAAGATAGCCGAAGAGGCTTCCAAGAGGGCCCTGGGCGGCCCACGAGGGCCCCAAGGCGGTGCCTGAGGCGCCCAAGACGGCCCGAGAGGGCCCCAAGACGGCCCCAAGAGAGGCCCAAGAAGGGAACGACGAACCGAGAATCCGAGCTTTCTACCCCGAGAGGTTCTCGGGAAGTCCCAAGAGGCCCCCAATCGGATCCAAGAGGCTCCCAAGAAGCTCCCAAGAGGGCCGACGAGGTTCCAAGAGATCTCCCAAGGTGGCCCCAAGAGGCACAACTCATTGTTTTACGATTGGGCTTTGACGGGTTTTAATTTTTTCTGCCTTTTGGCATCCCGATGCTCTAAGACGGCCCAAGAGGCTTCCAATACCGCTCCCACATAGAGGGAGAGGCCTCCAAGAGGGCCCCAAGACGGCCGGCGAGGCCCCAAGACGGTGCTTGAGGCGCCCAAGACGGCCCGAGAGGGCCCCAAGAGCCCCAAGAGAGGCCCAAGAAGGGGAACGCGACCCAACAGCAGAGCGGTCCCCCCACAAGGCCCACAGGAGGCCGCAAGAGGCCCCCAAGTGGTCCGACGAGGACCCCAAGAGCTTCCCGAGGGCCGAAAAGGCTCCTAGGAGACGTCCAAGAGGCTTGAAAATAGCCCACGAGTGCCCTCGATGCGTCAAAACTGCTTCCAGGAGGCCCCCGGGAGGCTTCCAGATTGCTTCAATCTGGCCGCAGGTGGCCTCAAGTCGGACCTCCACGCAGCCAAGGCGTCCAATGACGGCTTCAGATTGCAGAGCCGATGCCCCCAAGGGACCCCCAGACGCCCCCCCAAGAAGCACCCAAGAGGTGCCTCCAACAGCCAGTTGACGAAGCATGCAGGACACCCCAGAAGCTCCTCAGATGCCATCGCGCGCCTGTGCTTGATAGCGGTGTCCAAGATCTCCCAGCCCCGGCCTGGGCTAGAACCTGAGCGCGCGCGAAGCGCGCGCGATGGTTCTAGTTGAACATGTCATGCTGCACTACAACTGCAAATCTGCCGTGCGCACGAAATGCCGCCAAGAGGCCTCGTTCGTCAGAAGTTGGATTACATTAGCCAAGCCGTTCGCTGCCACATTCGCCATGCGCAGCACATGGGTTGTCCAGTCTGCACGCGGTCTGCCTACTTTCCTCACGTACCTCTCAGAAGCTGGCCGGAAGGACTTCGGGCAGAACGCGACTTCTCTCAGCAGGCTCCCTTCCGGTGCCCTTGCTGCCTTTCCTAGCAGGAGAAGCTGCTGCCTTGCCACGGCGTCCGTCAGAGGGGCCTGCCCTGTCTCGCGAAGAACTGTAGCGTTGCTCACTCTTGAGATGAAGGCGGGCGCGATCCCCCAGATAGAGCGGAGGCACCGGCACTGGAAACTATCCAATCGCCTACGCCCAGCTGCGCTGAACCACAGAGAAGACAAACCATATGTCAACTTGCTGAGAATCACAGCCTTGTATATCTCCACTTTTCTGTGCCGGCTCAAACTTGGATGTCTCCATATCTTTGAGAGTTTATCGAACTCGGCCCGCGCCGCGCCCAGCCGGCGAGAGAGCTCCTTGTTTGCATCTCCCGTGTCAGAGATAAGAGCGCCCAAGTAAATCATATTTGGCTGCGCTGGTATGGCGCCCCCGTGCACGTTTCGGACTTTGCCTGCGCACCGGACCTTCAAGAGTTGGAATTTGTCGGGGTGCAGCTCCATGCCATATGACCTCCCAGCTTGTTGGACTGCTTGTAATAGTGCTTCCACTGCCCGCGGTGTTCTTCCCAAGATCAATGTGTCATCAGCGTGCAGCAAGACGGAAAGAGACCCTCGTTCCCAGGAGTCCCGGTCGGAACCGGTAAGTTGTGAAGCCGCTTGTTCGATGATGACTGTCATCGTCATTACAAACAAGAGCGGTGACAGCGGGCAACCTTGCGATATCCCTGACGCCTGTGGCCTCGAAGAAGACGTCGCACCGCAGTCCCGCACCTCAAAGCATCGGTCCGTATAAATAGAACGTATAACGTCCAACACATGCTCTGGCAGGCCGAAGCGACGTAATCCGCAAATCATCGCAGCAGGGTCGATTGAATCGAAAGCCTTTTTCCAATCAAGGGCCAACGCATACAAGTTTCCGACTGGTCCTCCCAGCTCCAGGTCAATTCGTCTGCGTAATGCAAAAATGGCCTCTTGGGTCCCGTGCTTGGATCTGAGCCCAAATTCGAACTGCTGGAGCCACTGACGAGACCATCCTGTCAAGTGCCGGAGGGTATTTTGTATGGTCACCTGAGCCTGATCGCGAGTATACATGAGCTGTACTGGCAGCAGGGGCAAGGGAGCCAGACAACTTTCGTGAAGGTACAACTGCATGCGATGTAGAGGAGCCTTGCCGCCGAGCCTGCTGATTGGCTTGATGCTTCTCAAGCGCTAGGCTCTGCTGAACATCAGCTGGCAACTCAGGCTTGTGCATGAGATAGTAGGCAACGCATGAAGGTCGCCAGGTAGTAACATGACGTAACATCAAGGAACGATAAGTATAATGGCGAAAACTGGCAGAGCAAGCGTAACTAGCTGCGCACCTACGTGCTAAGCCAGTAATCGTAACGTGTAGGGCACGCACGTGGGCATCCAGGGACGGAATCGACTAGGCATTCAAGTCATAGGAGGGGCAGCTCATCACTGGAACTTGTGGCGCTTCACGGACATCATGCGCAGGTGGGAGCCTGGCCCCTGACTTAAAACCCTCTCCTGCCACCGAGCACCTTCAAAATCCCTCCTGGATTTCTCAACGCACGCCTTAGTAACCTCCGAAAGAAGCCGCTTCCAGACCTTGGAAGAGGAAAGATGACTTAGTCTTGGTGATCCAGACCTGTGGGTCTGACACTGGGGTCGGGAGGTCCACTAGGGCGTGATGACTAGAACGCAACCAACTTAGGTCATCTTGGACCTGATGGAGCCGTGATTGTTTTTTTGTTCCCACCCGAAGCCTGTATGCACTCAGAGTCTAGTATTGCCAATAGCGGAGCAGGAGCCGAATCCATAACCTGTGAAAACAAGCGTAGACGCTGTACACGTAGTAAAATAGCTAGCAACAGTAGCCACGGCATCTTCATCAGTGGGTCCATGAACTTCAAGCCGAGGTAGGCGAAGCACCCTGCGATATCTTCTGGCATAGTTGGATCTCAGCCTAATCACATTAGAAGGAGGAGGATCAGGAGGTGCAGGACGGGGCTGGGTCTGCCGCGGTGGCCGCAGGCTCGTCGCGAAGGTGGTTCCCGTGGCGAGCTGTGCCGGTGTAGCCGGCCTGGTCGCCGCTGCAGCGCTCACCGCCGCCGCGGCACGCGCCGCGCGCCAGCGCACGTCGTACCAGCTGATGGAAGGCGGGGTTCCGGGAGTCTGCGCCCCCACGACCCCGCGGCCCCCCCCCCCTACCCCCCCACACTCCCGGTCCTCCTTCTCCTCCCCCTCCTCCTCCTCCTCCTCCTCCTCCTCCTCCTCCTCCTCCTCCTCCTCCTTCTCCCCCTTCCTCTTCCTCCCCCTCCTCCTCCTCCTCCTCCTCCTCCTCCTCCTCCTCCTCCTCCTTACACCTCCTCCTTCCTCCTCCTCCGCCCCCTCTTCCTCCTCTTTCTCCTCCTCCTCCTCTTCCTCCCTGAAACAAATCTGAATACTACTCTCCTCTCTCCCCTGATGGCGTCTGGGAAATGGCCGGCCCCCCTCCGCGAACTGTTCTTTTACACAGGTTTCCCGGGAAACGGGTTTTCGTTTTTTTTGTTCCTTCTCAAAATGCTGTTCTCGCTGAAGCACTTGCCGCATTTTCGGGCTACCGCTCGTTCCGAATCGTGCCCCCGCTGCAGCACTGGCCTCATTTCTGCGCTTCCGCTCGTTCCGAATCGTGCTCCCGCTGCAGCGCTGGCGTCATTATTTCCAGCGCCATGCCACGGCATGGTTCTCGATCCTTCCAAATCGGTCCCAACATCTAAAATATGGCCTCCCGCAGAGACCATCGGAAGTGACTACTCATTCGGTGTCGATTCTTTGATCTCTTGGGCCGCAGAAGCCCCCCCCCCCACTTTGGGGCGTCGCCACGCCATGCTATGTCAGGCTACGCGTCCTCATTTCCGCGCTTCCGTTTTTTTTTGTTCCCCATCTCCTAAAAATGCTGCTCTCGCTGAAGCGCTGGCCTCATTTTCGGGCTACCGCTCGTTCCGAATCGTGCTCCCGCTGAAGCGCTGGCCTCATTTCCGCACTTCCGCTCGTTCCGAATCGTGCTCCCGCTGCAGCGCTGGCGTCATTATTTCCAGCGCCATGCCACGGCATGGTTCTCGATCCTTCCAAATGGCCCCTAAATCTAGAAAATGCCCCCCGATGAAACCATCGGAAGTGATTACACAGTCGGTGCCGAATCGTTGATTTTCTGGGCCGCAGAAGCGCTGGCGTCATTGTTTCCAGTGCCATGCCACGGCATGGTTTTCGGTCCTTCCAAATGGCCCCAACATCTAAAATATGGCCTCCCGCAGAGACCATCGGAAGTGACTACTCATTCGGTGCTGATTCTTTGATCTCTTGGGCCGCAGAACCCCGTCCCCCTCTCATTTTTGGGCGTCGCCACGCCATGCTATGTCATGCTACGTGCTAGTCTTCAAGACCATGCTATGCCATGTAATGAATTGCCATGCTGCGACATCCGATTGTGCGAATAGGGAGGAGATCTGCGCCATCCTCTCTCTCTTCCCCCCTCCGCTCCCCGCCCCTCTCCTCCTCCTCCTTCGTCCTCCCTCCCTCCTCGTTTTCCTTCATCCTCCCGTCTCCCTCGTCCCTCCTCTTTTTCCTCCTCCTCTTCTTCCTCCTCAGCGCGATTTTGCAAAAAGGTTCCAGATATTGTGGCTTCGGGAGTGCGAATTCGTTGTAATTGAGATGAGGTGTGGTTTGGGGAACGCAGATTCGTTGTAACTTGCTACGGGTTGTGGCATCGGGAGCACCCCCAGAAATTAAGATTATGTGATTCTGTGTTGGGAGCGGGGCGTTTTTCGGGCGCCCCCCTCGCGCGGATTTCAACCGTTTCGATATTGCGCGAGTGCCTTCCGTTTGCGAGGTGGGAGCGCGTTCCAATCCCAACATCACATGGTTCCACAATTGATTCCCTTCGTTTCGCGGGGTGCACGTCCTGAGCACGTGCAGTCCAGACGTTGTGGGGCCTGGTGGAAGCATTTTTGGTGCCTCTTGGAGGCGTCTCGTGGGCTTCCTGGGGCCTCTTGGGGGCTTCTTTGGGTCTTCCTTGGGGCCTCTTGGGCCGTCTTGGGGGGCTCTTGCGCGCCGTTTGGCTCCTTCGGAGGCCATCCTGTGGGCCTCTCGCGGCCGCCTTAGGGTCATCTTGGGGTCCTCTTGGGGGCCTCTCGGACTGTCCTGGGGGCCTCCTTGGGCCGTCTTGGGGTCCTCTTGGGCCGTCTTGGGGTCCTCTTGGGGGCCTCTGGGGCCGTCCTGGGACCATTTTGGAGGCTGCTTGGGCCGTCATGGACCTCTAAGGATAGAAAAAAGCAATAACGCTAAAATCTTTAAACAACCAAAGGGAAATCCATGGTTTTGGCCTCTGGAGGCGCTCTTGGGGGTCCTCTTGGGGCCCTCTTGGGTCTTCTTGGAGGCTTTTTGGGCCCTCTTGGGGCCATCTTGGACCGTCTTGGGATCGTCTTGGCCCGTCTTGAGGCCATTTTGAGCCGTCTTGATGTACTCTTGGACCCCCAGCAGGCCCCAGGGGCCCAAATCAGCGATTTTCTATAGGTTTCTTCAAGTTTCGAAGCCCAAAAGGGGTCGGTCTGTCACGCTTGGGTCGACGGAAGTGGCGCGATTCCAAGGGGGGGGGCAGGGCGGAGACATAATTTGAGGGAGTTTCTATGGAATTCACGTCATCCTTACCCCCCGCGCGCGGGAGAGTCGATTCCAAGCGCACCTCCAGGGACCATTTCCAGCGCTGCACCGGGCGCGCCGGGCGGGCGCCCTCGCTCGAGACATCCTCGCAAAATCGCCATACGGGCCCCCAGCGCACCCCCAGGGACCATTTCCGGCGCTGCACCGGGCGTGCTGGGCGTGTCCCAACCCGGCGCCCTCGCTCGAGACATCCTCGCAAAATCGCCCCACGGGCCCCCAGCGCACCCCCAGGACATCCTCGCAAAATCGCCACACGGGCCCCCAGCGCACCTCCAGGGACTATTTCTGGCGTTGCACCGGGCGCGCCGGGCGTATCCCAACCCAGCGCCCTCGCTCGAGACATCCCCGCAAAATCACCACACGGGCCCCCAGCGCACCCCCAGGGACTATTTCCGGCGCTGCACCGGGCGCACTGGGCGCGCTGGGCGTGTCCCAACCTGGCGCCTTTGCTGCTCGAGACATCCTTGCAAAATCGCCTGGCGCTGCGCCGGGCGCGCCGGGCGTGTCCCAACCCGGCACCCTCGCTAGAGACATCCTCGCAAAATCGCACCACGGCCCCCCAGGGCGCCTCCAGGGACCATTTCTGGCGCTGCACCGGGCGCACCGGGCGCGCCGGGCGCGTGTCCCAACCTGGCGCCTTCGCTAGAGACATCCTTGCAAAATCGCAACACTGGCCGCCAGCGCACCCCCAGGGACCATTTCCGGCGCTGCACCGGGCGCACCGAGCGCGCGGGGCGTGTCCCAACCCGGCGCCCTCGCTCGAGACATCCTTGCAAAATCGCCCCACGGGCCCCCAGCGCACCCCCAGGACATCCTCGCAAAATCGCTACACGGGCACCCAGCGCACCTCCAGGGACCATTTCCGGTGTTGCACCAGGCGCGCCGGGCGTGTCCCAACCCAGCGCCTTTGCTCCCAGCGCACGGCGCTGGCGCACCGGGCGCGCCAGTCGTGTCCCAACCCGGCGCCCTCGCTCGAGACATCCTTGCAAAATCGCCCCACGGGCCCCCAGCGCACCCCCAGGACATCCCCGCAAAATCGCCACACGGGCACCCAGCGCACCTCCAGGGACCATTTCCGGTGTTGCACCAGGCGCGCCGGGCGTGTCCCAACCCAGCGCCTTTGCTCCCAGCGCACGGCGCTGGCGCACCGGGCGCGCCAGTCGTGTCCCAACCCGGCGCCCTCGCTCGAGACATCCTTGCAAAATCGCCCCACGGGCTCCCAGCGTACCCCCAGGGACCATTTCTGGCGCTGCACTGGGCGCGCCGGGCGTGTCTCAACCCGGCGCCCTTGCTCGAGACATCCTCGCAGAATCGCCCCACGGTCCCCTTGCGCACCTCCACGGACCATTTCCGGCGCTGCACCGGGCGCGCTGGGCGTGTCCCAACCCGGCGCCCTCGCTCGAGACATCTTTGCAAAATCACCACGCGGGCCCCCAGCGCACCCCCAGGGACGCCCAGGTGATGCCCGCCCGCCCGATCCTCACCCTCCCTGATCTTCATTCTCCCCTCATCCTCGCTCTCCCGATCCTCACCCGCCGCACCAACGCCACCTGCTCATTCTCACCATCGTCATCGAGCACAGGCGCACGCGCCTTTTCTCTATATACAGAAACTCCCGATCAACCGCAGAGCGGCCGGCTAGTATTGCAAATCAGTACAACAGGTAGAAATTATGCAGTCATTGGATACATTAGATCCGTTGCAGTGCAGCATCCGCGGACCTGCATCTGGCAACACGTCACCTCTGGACGTGGATTCCTCTCGCTTCGCGGGGTGCACGTCTGGAACACGTCCAGTCCAGACGTTGTGGGGCCTGGTGGAAGTCTCTTTGGGGCCTCTTTGCGGCCTCTTGTGGGCTTCTTGGGGTCTCTTAGGGGCTTCTTTGCGGCCGCCTTGGGGCTCTCTAGGTGCCCTCTTGGGCCGTCTTGGGGACTCCTTGGGCCGTCTTGGGGTCCTCTTGGGGGCCTCTGGGGCCGTCCTGGGATCATTTTGGATGCTGCTTAGGCCGTCATGGATTTCCAAGGATAGGAAATACGAGAACGCTAAAATCCTTCAAAAATCTCAGGAACAAGAACAGTGGTTTTGGCCTCTGGAGGCGCTCTTGGGGATCCTCTTGGGGCCCTCTGGGGTCTTCTTGGGGACTTTTTGGGCCCTCTTAGGGCCATCTTGGACCGTCTTGGGGTCGTCTTGCCCCGTCTTGAGGCCATCTTGAGCCGTCTTGATGCACCCTTGGGCCCCCAGCAGGCCCCAAAGGGCCCAAATCGCTGCTTTCCCAATCGGTTTTCGTTTGCGTGCTTCGTTTCGGCTGCGGAAGGCGTCGCCGTCGAAGGCTGTCGGGAACGGCGGGCGAGCGGAAGCGGGCACGTCATGTGTTCCCGGTGCCTGGCCGTCGTGGTGCCGCCGCGGGCCGCGGTCGAGGCGATGGCGTTCCTGGTTTCTGCCACCGCGATGGTGCTGC